ACTAAGCTTTGCAACTGATGAAAATCTGCAGTGATATACATAATTCATAGAAATACTGTAGAATTCATTCTACAGTCCTACTACTCTAACTATAGACCCAGATGTTTGATGAGAACACTACTTAAGACTGCAGTATATGCAAATTTGGTTAAATCCTTTAGTCAAATGACAACCAAGAGCAAATGGAAAACATAACCTGTGCATTAGGACAGTGTCTGATGGCTGCTCCAGACCTGAAGATTCTGTCAACACTTAGACTGCTCTGCTTGTTTTAGAGATCCCTGGCAGTATTTGTTATGCCAGGAACTTGGCAAAGTCTCTCTATGGGATTAAACTGGGAGAATGATTTGGTTTCACGCCAGCTGGTAGAATCTCTATTACTTGCTAAGTCTATTTAATATAGTTGTTATTGTACTTTGCTTTATATCTAAAGTCTGGTTGTAATTTGTGCATAAACTGTTTTTTTTTTAAGATTTATTTATTTATACAAGAACTGGGGTACAGGTCAGAGGCGCAGGAGGGTAAGAGAATTCACCAGAGACAGAGCAGGGAGAAGAACAGGCAGACGGACCAAAGACACTGTTGAGGGGAGCAGTGGGTGAAGCAAGAGAGGTTTGCCACGCAATGTGGGTTTCTCCCTCGCCGGCTGGGAATGGGATACTGCGCTGCAAAACTACGGACAGCTTCACAGTGTGGCACTCAACCCACTGCGCCACCGGAGAAACCCCTAGACTGTTATTATTAATGACCACAGTGGGTTATTTTGAGTGGGATTATTTTCATTTTATCACATTAGGGATTTGTTTTGCCCTAAAATAATTGGACATCAGTTATCATGGGCTGACTTTATTTATATTGACAAAGATGCCTGATTATCTTCATTTCAGTTTCTTAATTTTTTTAAAAAGAAAGAGGTAAGAGAATTCTGTAACGCAAATTTCTAAGAGGCAGGTGTAGCTGCAGGAGGGCATAGAGCAGGATCTCTATGACCTGAGCAGATGGGGTAAAAGAGGAGTCCTGGAGCCCTCCGTGGCTTTTGCAGGCTTTTAGTGGGATTTACCAGGTACATAGCAGGCAGGGGTGCTGTGGGGGGGAGGAATGGGGAGACTGGTAGGCCTCCCAGCCCCCAGCATGTCTTCACTCTTTCTGGGCTCTCCGGCATTCGCTCATGGTCTTGGCTGCTCTTTCGCTCTGCTCTCTTCTACTGGCGTCCCTGTGATGCCACCCTTATAAGAACAGTCTCAGCCCAGGTGTACCCACTTATGTATGCCCACACCCTACTCCAGGTGCCCACCATCAGGCATGCATTCAGGACCACAGGTTTCCATCATCAGTCCTAATGGCGGGAGGACAGAAAAGCCTGATACTTTACCCTATAGCAGGGAATGGATAAGTTTAGTCTTGAAATATTTGCAAAAATAATAGGAGCCACAAAAATTGTACTAGATCAAATAATGATGCCTATGTCTTTTATGTTCTGGTCCTTTGCCATTGTCGGTATATACACAGATGTACTCTAAGGGCCAGGACTGGACACAATGCAGGTTTTCTGATCCCATGCAGACCAGGTAAAGGAGTAGTCAGAGTACTTAGCGGTTTTTTGCAGGTCTTTTATTGGGGTTCACCAGGCATATGGCAGGCAGGGGTGCTGGCTGGGGGGCTGGGAGGCTGGCAGTCCTCCCAGCCCCCAGCAAGTCTTCACTCTATCTGAACTCTCTGGAGTTCGTTCTGCTGCATCTCAGCTTCTCTTTCGGCTTCGGCTTCTACTGCTGCTGCTGGCGTCCCCCTGAAGCCGCCCTTAAAAGCCCAGTCTTAGCCCAGGTGAATCACATCTACCTATGCCCACACCCTATTCCAGGTGCCCGCCATCAGGCATGCATTCAGGACAAGGATCCATCATCTATCCTGATGGCAGAAGGGCAGAAAAGCCTGATATTTTCTTTACCCTACATGTACGCTAGCACATCCCTTTTATGTTTAAATATTCACAAAATTCTGCCATAGACATATTTTCTGAATGCAGTTCCATTTTTCCTTTTTAACATCAAATGAACAGTGAGAGACTTGTCATATATGGAGTGAAGTGTGCTTCCTAAAAGTTAATGATCTCAGCTATTGGTACTGGTTCTTTTATTAATTTGCTGTGAGCCAATTAATTCTTCGTAGTTTAAGTATTCTTATTATAACAGAGTTGATAATCTCTACTGTATCAACCTCACAGGGTTGTATGAGATTTAGATGAGATAATGTATGTGGAAATTGACATACAATTTATAGAGAACTGGGTACATAAAGACACCATGATTGTTTGAGAACTACATTTTAGCCTGGTTAAATGCAGGATTCTTTTAGAATCACAGTTAAACAAATCCAGAAGATTTTTGTGACTCAAAGTTCAGTTCATCCGTAAATATCAGTATTTTTTAATGCATAAAAGTATCACAGATACTTTTAATGCATAAAAGTCACATCAGAACAATGAATAAACCTACAGCAACAAAAACCAAGTTGTCTGCTCCACCTCTGGGTAGTAATTAGCATCTGTTTCCCAGGAGCACAGTGTCATATTTCCTTCCATATGTGGCAGGCTCCAAACAGCTTCTGCTCTGCAGACTACCCAACAGCCTCCCCACTGAGTCCACTTGGTGTCTGAATATCTCCAACTCTGCTTATTACTGTGCATTGGGATTACCATGAAAACTAAGGAAAATGTGAAGTAGCTAATGACTACATCATGGATAAGCCTCAACCTTTTGAGCTCACATCTAACTCTTCATTGTCTCTAAGAGCAGGAATGGACCTAATTAGCTTAGGAATGAAGTAGGAGGGATGAAAGGAAGAGACAGCCTCTCCTTGATCTATGGCTTCTGGGTGGGATTCAAATCCATATCTCTTTCTAGACCTGCACACTGAAGTCAAAACTCCCTACCCAAGTCATCTGCGGGCTGCTTGTTTTGTTTGCCAGAGCTTAATTTCAAGATTGCATTTCCTTTCCTCTGCCCTTTTGTCTTTCCCTTATGTAGGGGGCAGGAACGGGCACAGTGCTGGTTTTGTGATCCCATGCAGACCGGGTAAAGGAGGAGTCAGAGTCCTCAGTGGATTTTTGCAGGTCTTTTATTGGGATTTAGCGGGTACATGGCAGGCAGGGGTGCTGGGGGGCTGCGAGGCTGGCAGGCCTCCCAGCTCCCAGCAGGTCTTCACTCTGGGCTCTCCGACCTTCTCTCACATTCTCTCTGCTCTTCTCATGGCTCTGCTCCTCTCTCGGCTTCTGCTGGCGTCCCCGTGATGCCACCCTTAAAAGCCCAGTCTCAGCCCAGGTGAATCCCATCTACCTATGCCCACACCCTATTCCAGGTGCCCGCCATCAGGCATGCATTCAGGACCGCAAGGATCCATCATCTATCCTGATGGCGGGAGGGCAGAAAAGCCTGACATTTTTCCTTACCCTACACCTTACCATATCAGCAGTTAGAAAATTGCTAACTGGAGATGAGGAGGGAAGGAAGGAAGGTAGGAAAGAAGGCAGGAAGGATGAAGGAAGGGAGGGAGGGAGGAAGGGAGAGGATATTTTTCTATTATTAAGGAAGCTGCAAAAGAAATATACCGTGAAGGCAGAGTAAAGATAAACACACATTCTGCTCCACTTATATTTCCTTTCCTTGCCACTTGTAGGGTAAGGTAAAAAGTATCAGGCTTTTCTGCCCTCCCGCCATCAGGATAGATGATGGATCCTTGTGGTCCCGAATGCATGCCTGATGGCGGGCACCTGGAGTAGGGTGTGGGCATAGGTAGATGGGATTCACCTGGGCTAAGATTGGGCTTTTTAAGGGCAGTGTCACAGGGACGCCAGTAGAAGCCAAGAGAAGAGAAGCAGTAGAAGCCAAGAGCAGAGGAGCAGCAGAGGTCTTCAGAGAGCCCAGACAGAGTGAAGACTTGCTGGGGGCTGGTAGGCCTGCCAGCCTCTGGGCCCCCCAGCACCACTGCCTGCTGTATACCTGGTAAATCCCAATATAAGCCTGAAAAGCCACTGAAGGCTCCAGGACTCTGACTCCTCCCTTACCTCATCTGCTGGGATCATAAAAAAACCTGCCCTGTCATTCTTGCCCCTATACCACTAAGATGATCCTAACACTAACTAGGAAATAGACTACTAGGCTCTGCCATTTCCTTGTGTTCACTCCTAAGCTGGTAGGTTGCAATGTTGGTTTCTGGTGCAGTGCCTGAGGTTGGGTGAAGATGCTGTGGAAGCGATGACTCCAGCAAGACCACTGTGACCCTTGTCTTGACGCAGAACTACCTCTTTCATGTGTATGCTATTTGGTCATTATGAGGTTTGTTGGAATATGGTTCTTCCCCTAAATGACCACTAGTCTGACCAAAATCTGCTTTTATGAGCAGACATCAAGGGTAATGAGTTAATGAGAGCTGCACACTTGGTTAAGCAAGTTTTATTTGGTCTTCTAGAATCTATTTTACAGATGCAAAGGAGTTCACTTAAATACCATATGGTTCTGATTAGCTGGCTTTTGGTTAACCCAAACATGCAGTTAAGCAAATATGATCCAGCTTATCCTCCAGCCCTGAGGCCAAACCTCCCTAAACTCTTGTGTTAGCAATAGATCTCCACCATCAGAGGACTTTCAGAATATGGAGTAAATTTAGTTAAAGATAGGTTACTGATAGGCCTTCCAGTAATGTGGTAGCTAAGGAGACTCCATTTATTGACCAAGAACTAAACATATTAATATTTTCCCAAAGTGTAATTTATGTGAACAAAGTCATGTGATTCTATAAAGCTGGTGGGATAGACCAGGTCTAAAAGTGATTAAGAAAATGCTATATATTTGTTTTTCCTAGTGGAGTAAACTAAAGTGCCTGGAAAATCAGAAAACTGGTTTGTGGTAGTTGTGCTTAGGGTGGCAAAGTCGTCCCCTTTTCTGATGTTACTATCCTCAGGCTCTACATAATTGTCTTCTGCTGAGTTTCTGCATTATATTCAGCTGTGATGCAGGCTATGGTCAATCCTCGTGTGCTACCTACCCAATGACCCCTGAGCAGTTCAGAACATGTATGGTGGCTGCAGAGGGACAATTACAGAACGGCTGTGAAAATCGAGACTGCTGAGGGAAGGCGCTGTGGTTTACTATTATGGCATGATTTAGAAGGCCGAGATCCTGGTTGGAGACAAATGCTGAGGACTAAGACTTTCGGTATGTATAGCGGGACTCTGTCCCATTTTGTTTTTTCATGCATAGATTTTTCTTTTTGAAATTGGGAATCAGGCCTCTCCGGTGGTGCAGCGGTTGAGCGCTGGGCTGTGAAGCTGCCCGCAGCCTCTGCAGTGCTGGTTCAATCCCGGCCACAGGGCGAGGGTCGCACATGGCCCACAGACCTCTCCTGCCGCCCGCTGCTCCCCTCAGCAGTGTACTTCATCAGTCTGCCTGCTCTGCTCTCCCCTCTGGCTCTGGTGAATTCTCTCACCCTCCCGGCTTCTGACTGTACTCAGTGCTTGTATAAATAAATAAAAATAAAAATGAAATTGGGAATCCAATTAATTGCCCAGAAATAGGTTAATTAAGTCATTTGGGGAAGGATGGTGATGCAAGTTTTGGGATAGAGCAACCTGTGTTTAATTCTGGGCATTGACGCTGCTGTGTGACTTTGCGTAAGTGCCTTAGCTTCTGAGTTTTAACTTCTTTAACTGTGAGATGGGTGAAACAGTAAAACGATGCTGGCAGGTTTGTGTAAGGATGTGAATACTATGTAAGGACACTGTAGGTACTTAATAACTGGCAGCTATTATTATTTAAAGGGCTAGTTGGTATCTCCTTTTTCTTGCAGAGGCCTCCATTAAGAAGCAGAAGTTCGGCAGCCTGCAGTAAGTCAGCCTTGGTGTTGAGAAGGCCTTAAACATCCTGGGGAGCAGTGGGCTGTGTTAAAAAGAATAAAAGAGCATGTGTTGTATTAAGGAGAATAAAAGCTTTAACATGAAGTACTATTTCAGGACTATTTATGCCTTTCAGCTGAGACAGAAGTACTGTACACAGTGGAGCGCGTGGGATCCCAGAGGCTGCTGGGCTGGCGATTTCTGAGGCAAAAATGTCTAAATGCACGTGAATTACAATGCTTTTTAATTTTAAATTATTTTATGTATATTTGGGTCTTGTGGTAGGCATCTTTAATATTGCTGATTTAGAATTTGAGAGGCCATTATTCCTGTTTGTCCCCCAAGTGCCTCACTCAAGTGCTTTCCACCCCCTTCTGTTCCCACCCACTTTATAATTCTCCCAAGTTCCTGACTGTGAAATAGGGGCTTTCCTTTGTTATTATCTTGAGCACATCTTAGTCAAGTTACCAGTCTAGCTTGGCTCAGAAAGCTCTTGAATCCCATTTTCTGTTTAAAATGCAAAGGTTTAACATGCAATTTGCAGCAACATGGATGGAGCTGGAAGGGATCATGCTCAGCGAAATTAGCCAGAAAGAAAAAGAAAAATACCGGATGGTCTCACTCATAGCAGGAATCTAGAAAACTTAAATAAGGGACCAGGAAAAAGAATAACTATATGAAAGAAAATATCAAAATCAACAAACAACTATGAACAAGAGACACTCTGTGGGGGTGGGAAAAGAAGGGATTGGGGTAAAAATAAGGGGGTTGTAATTGTATGGGGAATATAAAAATAAAATTTAAATTTAAAAAATAAATAAAATGCAAAGGTTTAAAACTGTGTGAGATGTTATGACTTCAGTGTTTGAGAAGTCTGCTTTGGCTGAGTATCTCATTCCATGAAATAGGGGGAATAAAAATCTCATTGTGACCAGAACAAAACTGACTCTGAGATATTTTGGGCAACACATGACCACTTAGGCATCAATGTGGGGGGGGGGTGACGGACTTCAATGTATGGGAAGACAATTTGCTAATGAGGCCTTGGAAGATCCCAGTGGCCCTCAGGTGGAAATGATTCTAGAGAAAGGGAGATGGTGAGCAAGAGCAATGGGAGGGCTGCTAGTGCAATGGAAAGCACAATTTAAGGATTAGGGTTAGGCACTGGAAAGTAGAATTCAGTGCTCAAACAAGCTTGGGGTGATGGAGGAGTATATATCATCCATCCATCCATCCATTCTGTATGCCAGATCTGCCCACCCACCTGCTGGGCCTTTCATCCATCCATCCGTCTATTTGAATTCTCTTTGGACAAAGGTGAAACAATTAGCTGCATTAATTTTACATTGTCCTAAATAAATAAAAGGGAGGGTGCTGATGTGTGTTCTTGAGTGAAAAGACCATGACTCTCCTAACACAGGCTTGTTCAGTGACTTATAGCTCTGGAGCTCCAGTATGGGACTTTATTATAAAATGCTGTTTGATATGTGATGCAAATTCTTAGAGAAGTTAGGTTTGGGGTTACAAGGAATCTTCAGGACACCATGTGAGTTTCCTAAAGTCAGTGTGATAAATGAGAACTAACAATGTGATTTGGCAAGGGCTTTGCTATCATTCTATTACTGTGGGCTCCACAGTCATCCACAGATGGTACTTTCTGAAATGATGACATAAATAATAAATACTTTGGTTATAGTTAGTTATGCAACTGAAACCCTTTTATTATTAGTTACTCAAAGTGCTATTATTCTTATTTTTTCCAGATCAATGAAACTTCAATTAAATCAATCCATGCAGAACCATAAGTTTTTTGCCCTACCTACAAAATGGCAATTTTACATATTAATAATTACAACTTAATAGTGAATGATGATGGCACTGAGTTTTGAACTTGGGGAGTCTGACTCTAGAGTCTTCTCTTAAGTTTTATGTTATTCTTATGATTCTCATGTATGCCAGTAGCTGTTGATTTTCAAAAAAAAAAAGGAAAACCCTCAGATTGAATTACATTACTGAATTTCAAGGTTGGTATATGATGGGATTCTGAAAATGGAAATGTGCTTATATAACCACTATGAATAGGACACAGAGATGAGGGGCTAGGAGACTGTAGAGTAAAGGAAGCTACTGAAATTACATGCTCTTACCTCCACTTAGTGCAGATGGAGTTGGTAATAATGCTATTATTAATGCTAATTTTCTTCTAGATATATGGGACTGAAAAATCCTTTGTGCTGACATAATTTTCATCTTGGTTCCAAACCATAAGAACTGCAATTTTAGAGTATGACTAGAATATAAAGTTGTTCTGTCTATTAATTTTCAGGCAGAATAAGTTTATAGTAATAGGCTTGTATAGTTTTGTGTGTTCAAGGGCCAAAGTTTGTAAAATCTGTGGGAAATTGGAAAAGGAAGGAAAGAGTTCTTGCCAAACTCTTCGATACGTTTGATCCTTCAGAGTGACTAAATACACTATGGAGACACAACAAAGAAGAGACTTGCATAAAGAGGCCATATGTAGTAGCTTCCCTCCCCCAAAAACAGGGTATAAAAATATTTCCTATAAGAGGGTTATAATCAACTAATTTTTAGTGTGTGGCTCATAGAAACTGAAACTTCTTAAAAGGAGTATTCGTTTCACTGTGATTTTTTTTAGAAGATTTATTTATTTATGCATACAAGAGCTGGGGTACAGGCCAGAGATACAGGGGGTGGGAGGATTCACCAGAGACAGAGCAGGGAACAGAATAGGCAGACTGAAATACGGTGCTGAGGGGAGCAGTGGGCGAGACAGGAGAGGTCTGCTTTATCATGTGGGTTTCTCTCTCGCCTGGTGGGGATTGAACTCATGCTGCAGAGGCTGCAGATTGCTTCATAGTGCGTTGCTTAACCCCTTGCACCACCAGGGAAGCCCTGTTTTACTGTGATTTTTGCTAACAACTGTTACAAGCTACAGTTCTTAACAGAGGGTCTTTATGTGAAAAATGTTTGCTATATTTTTCAATGATAAATGAATCAGCGTGGTGATGATTTAAGCATGAGAGGTAAAATGAGCATGCTCTAAAGACACCTAGGATTACTGGAGCTAATGGAACCTGACAGGAATGACTGGAGTATAAGGGCTTCCTGACTTGTAGTTGGAAATGAATCCAGGAGAAGCCCTCAGTGAGAGTGGCCAGTTATGAAGGGGCTGGGCCTGCGCCATGCAGTTGGTCACTTGGCACTGAGAGACAAGCTGCACCCGTGGAGAAGTGTTTTTTGAGCGGCTGTTCATTATTTTAGAATGTTTCTTCTCTTCTTGTAAAATACCTTACAAGTCTAGAAAATTGATGGGAACCAGTTCGATCACAACTACTTATCACTTTCCCTCAATATATTTACTTGATCTGTATTGCTCATACATTTTCAGCATAATTAGCATCATCTAAGATAAAGAAAATGACAAATGAAGTTAACAGTTACTGATTGCTTTTTCATTTTATATGGTTGATCTCTTTGCTTCTAAACATGAGAAGGGCCTTGAGTGAATTCAAATTCACAACTGAGGAATGTGTTTTTTAGGAGCTGTGACCTAAGCACTTTCAACTTGTGTCTAGTTAAAAATGCTTCCATATTTTTATTTTATTTTCTATAACAAAAGGAATGTGTTCTATATGTTTGGTAAGTACATCTTTGTATGCCAACACCTATCGCTTGTTATCTTATAAACATATTTCTCTAGGCTTCAAAATGTGACTTGTCCCACGCTTTGAGTGTCATTTAAAGTACGTTTCTTTATTAAATTAAAAAACTTACACGTGACAACATAAAATTGTCCATCCTAACCACTTTAAATGTATAGTTCAGAAATGCTAAGTATATTCATGTTGAACAGCTAATCCAGAATTTTTAAAATCTTGCAAAACTGCAATTTTATACTCATTAAACAATTCCCCATAAACTTCCTCCCAAGTTTCTGTGATCACTATTCTATCAGTATGTTGTTTTAAAATAAATTCTCAGGAAGTTTAGAGGAATGAATAAAACTAAAGAATGAGTAAGAAGTAGGAAAATATATTATTTGAGAACTGAATGAATTACTTTCTGTTCAAATACTGGGTTTGGGAGGAAGAAGAGAAAAACAGGGCAGAATAGCTCCAGTTCTGCATTAAAGTGATATTGGATGTTTCCCATGTCTAAAGTGTATTCTCACTTCATACTCCTGAAAATTTTACCTCTGTTCTGATGTCACAGAATTGATTAATATGGATATGTGATAAGATAGCACTGTTTCACCATGACCCTTAACTTGCAAATAATAATAAAAGGAAAGTAAAGGAGAATCCTTAATCTTGGTAGTCTCAGGATTAATGAGAAAAATTTCTCACCATCACTCTTGCTATTCCCATCAAAAAATATTAAAAGTAGAGAAAAGTAGATTGGTCATATGAGTTTCGTTGAATTCCTAACCCTGCAGTTGTGGAGAACGTGACCTTATTTGGCTATTGTCAATTCCCTTTACAGAGGCAATTAAGTAAAAACGAGGTCTAGGGTAGGCCCTAGTCGTATTTGGTTTATTTCCTTATAAAAGATGGCAAATTTGGAGACAGAGATGACCAGAGGGAGGACACTCTGTGAACCTCACAGTAGACAGAGATGGAACAGCGATTTTATAAGTCAAGGAACACCAATTGCTTGTAAACCACTCAAATATGAGAGCGAATTCTGAGCAGATTTTTCCCTTTCAGCTCTCCAAAGGCTCCTGGCCTGGGAGACCTCTTGATTTTGAAGTTCTAGCCTATAGAGTTGTGAGACAACACATTTCCATTGTTTAAGCTACCCAGTCTGTGGCCCTTTGTTATGGCCACCCTAGCAGATGACTACAGCAGGGATGGAATTAGAATCCAAGATTCTATTTACAGGGACTGTGGCTCCAAGATCTTGGCAAATAAATCTCCAGCCTTTCTCCTTGCTAGATGGGATGCTTCAAATACAAAGAGGAACTGATAGCATATTGAGTTGTTCTAAATGACCTCATTTAGCAATGTCCTAAATAAAACCTTGCCTAATTTCCTCGGCTTCAGAAATATAGCTGAGTAAAATTGATAAGAAAGATCTTGCAGTTTACCACCAAAAATATGACTTCTAACTTACTAATAAAATTTAGGCTGATTGACAAAAGATTATTCCTCACTCATCAGAGTTGCTCTCATTTTTCTAGGTCACTAGATCACAGAGATTATACTCATTTGCATAAACTAACGAAATTGCCACTCAACCACTGTTGTGAGGTGTT